ATGATAATTATTTAACCGTAATTATTTAAACTTTTCAGACCTAAAATTAGGAATTTTGCCTCCACAACTTGACATTAAAGAGGGTACCTAAACAAACCCAAGACCCTGAATAAGCCCGAAAACTTGACATTAAAGCGAGTGCCCCTGCATAAGCGGGTCCAACATTACACATCGAACGCTCAAACTGCATAGATGATACTATTAAGTTTACGCTCAACTTCATATGAGGCGGTACACATTAGGCGGAGCTGTGCAACATTGGAGCATAGTGCCTTCTTTGGAAGTTATGGGCCTTATGCTCAGAAGTGTACGACTCAGAGGATATTAAGTTTAGCAAATACCCATAATTGATGTCACTGCGAGCTGCTGTCTCCATAATGGGTGTAAGGATTTGTTTAACAACCTTGCAGCCACATGGTTTACAGGAGGTGAACCAGGGTTCGTGGGCATGATGGTTGACATGGGGAAGTGGGAGAAACCACATAGCATGTATCCCCTGATATCTCTCTCGAGGCCTGCCTTTGTGCCCATGCTCCCGGACAATTGCTAGGAGCCTCGTAATGAGGAACTCAGATAGGCTGGGCCATGCTCAGGGCTGGGACAAAGATACGCTTGTGTCTGTGTAGGGGAATACCCAGGTGTTCTCGATGGGACGCTGCTGCCTGCACCCCCGCTGCTGGTAAGACGCTCTTCTCCCCGCCTGGAGGCGAGTATGAAAGATCAAGGCGCAAAACGATTTAGCATTTGAACCAGAGCCCCTGGGGCTCCGAAAGCCCAGTGTGGTCTTGTCCATAAGCTCTAGAGAACAATTCATGCACTATCTACGAGCCCCGGGACGAGGCCTCTCAAAAGGCACTGCCTTTTTACGGATTTACTCCGCAGGGGGTATAAAGATTGTTTCAGCTCAGTACTCCTTGTCATGTCCTATCCCCCCTATATCAAGAACCACTCCTTGGCCAGAAGTTAGAAGAGTCCATCAATGGTGGTGCTGCTTCCAGAATGAAAGAGATACCCAGAATTCAGCGCGTGTCCCTTGCACTGTAAAGACCACAAGCGCAGCGGGAATTCAGCCGCTCACTATCCTGTACAGAGTGACTGCAAGAGTTGTTCGCTTGCGCCAGCTATGTAAAGGTGGCTATGACGTGCGATGCCGCAGAAGCACACGGCCCTCAACAACGATTTCTCGCCAAGCGAAACAAAATCGGTTGTTTTCTGCCCAAAATTAACATAAAGCACCATACAGGTCCCTTTACAATGTCGTCTAAAGTCTTTGCCTCATTCAGGTCCTTGTAAGTTCGGGGTGCGTGTTTGCCCGCGGCACTTGAAACATGTTGCCTAGATTGTTTGAATCGAGCCTGCTGTTGGCTTGAGGTGCAGGTCGACGCGAATAGCCATGGAAGATGTGGGTGCATGGTGTACATATTCGGCTCAGTGTCGCAAGGATTCAAGACACATGTTGACCACATACACATGGACACCTCCTGAATTAACTAATTCCCGGTTCTACCTCTTATCCTCCTAGACAGTTAACACCTTTGCTGAGGAGTCTCCCCAAACAAAGAGACCCCCCTCAGTACATAACCCTATCAGATCCTCTTGTACAGGTCTGCTATGGGGGTCTTGCATCTGCGGACTAAGAGTTTCTAAAGGACAGCCGCGGAGCCCAAAGTCTCCCTAAACCCCATAAACCCAAAAAAACCCGGGATTGAGCCCGTTGCCGCTGCAGAACGCTAAGAGCTACGCCATAAACGGTGATTAGCCTGCCATGTCATACAGTCCTTTCTGCATCTTCTAGCTTAGACTAGTTTGCCGTAACGGGCTCTGAACCCTAAACCCTAAACCTACCAAGTGTTTGAAACAAAAGGCGCCTGAGAAGCAGTTGGCCTTGCCGCCAGTGGAGGAGGCGGAAAGTCATGTGTGGGGATTCCCTATAGGGTTCAGGGTTTGGGTTTTTTTAGGGTTTTAGGGTTTTGTGGTTTCAGGGTTTAGGGTTGGAGGGTTTAGGGTTCAGGTTTTAGGGTTTAGGGTTTATAGAGGTCTCCCCCAGTACTAAACCTCCCCACCCCCCTAATCTTAAATCTTCCCCATTGTGGTATATGATACTATATTGGGCATATTTATCATTGGGGGGGGATGGGGTTCAAATATAAGGGGAAGGGCATTAGGGTTTAAGGTTTAGGGTACTTTTTTTGCAAGCCCTCGCAAGGTTTTCTTACACGCGTGTTTGCAGTAGAGCCCCGCTATGGATCCGGAGGAAATTGGTCGTAGGGCCGCTTGTAGGTTCACACCAACATGTCAGGGTATTTTTAGGTTATAGTCCCCCTTAAGTAGATAGAATATGGTTTCGGGTATATTATAACAATATCACCATATACCCCATATTCTATCTACTTAAGGGGGACTATACATCGTCTTTGCAAAGCAATGTCGGGAATGTTCTTGCATATTTGCGAGGTAAGCCTAATGTAGGTTTCTGTCGAACTATGTAGAGATAGGAGGTACCTAGCTATACTCATAAATAAATCCTCAACGGCAGGTTTGGGGACTAGAAACCACGATGGGATGTTTCCGGATATTTTCGTTTGAGACAGGCTGCGCGCACGTCACCCTTATCCATAGGCCGTGAATCGCTGAGTCCTTTTCCGTTCCGTACCCGAGCAAAAGGTTTAAGGGATAGGGTTTGGGTATCAGGGTTAGGGCACAAAAGGAAGATTCCAAGGCATTCATTCTGGATTTGCTGAGGGCAGTTCTTCTCTGAGTCCTTACGCACTATTTTGCTGGGAGATTCTGGAAGTCGTGCTGACACCCAAGCCATAGATTTTGCATGACTCTGCCGTCATTCCGCGGGCTCGGAAATTTCGCGCCAAAACCTATAGTCGGGGCCGATACTGGCAACTACCAACATTTTTGGTCCTAGATTTCGTGCGAGATCATGGTACACGGTACCTCAAATACAAAAGCTCCAAAGGATTTTGGTAGTTGTTGAGGTTGAATTTAGGCTCCTACTATTGTCTAACTCTGCAGGCTTGTTTTCTTGAGCAGGGCTTGTTGGTGGCCCGCGTGAGCAACATTTTCCGGACAAAGGGGAAGTCACATACAGTGTTTTGCGACTGTCTGGGTAAGCAGGAAGCAGACGAACAAACCAGATGCCCACCATGCCATGGTGTGCCCTGAGTTGCAGACTTATAGACCAAACACTTAAGATCACTTGGACCAGTCGCGCTACGCCCCAGTAACGATGACCTTCTTGCAGCCTGTAGATAGGCCAAAGCTGCTGGATCTGCCACGGAGAAGCCTGGGAAGCCCAAGAAAAAGATTGTCAGGAAGAAATCCAAGAAGGCCCGGAAGCACGTTCACGATGAGAGCCTCATGTAGGTCTTGTAGTGGTACCGACCCTGACGAGGGCTGGCAACCTTTGAAACAGGTGCCTATGTAAAGTACGGATAACATTCTATATGAGCTATAGTCTAAACTCCTTAAAGGGGGGGGGATATTTAGGGGGTAATATAGGGGAGCAGTATAGGGCTCATGAAGGGGGGTAAGCCGATGCTGCTTGGAGTGTAGATTATAGGTCAGATGCTCTCGGCCCGAAGCCTGCGCCTTGGACTGCTGAGCTGTTATCGGGGCCCAGCGGCTAGCGCGGGTTCAAAGCTCAACGATCTATCCATACACAGGCACACGGATGTGTATATAGAACTATGTGCAGCCGGTCTTACTGCAGGGATTGGAGGGGGATCTGGCGATCATCGCTATGCGCTTCTTGACAGGCTGCATTCACAACTAGCCCATTTACTTGTAATCCCATTTGCCTTGGAGCTACCATGTATAGCCGCTAGACTGTAGGCGGGTTACAAGTAGACCCTAGGCCCCAACCCATTGCTCACAAGCCTCCAAGCATCAAGACACTCCCACAAAACAATATGCCACACCCCCCCGCAATGATAAATCTTCCCAATATAGTTCCATTCCATGATTCACTTGGAACATGTCATTTAATGTTGGGTGGGCGTTTACGTTTTCTGATGCGGCATGGAGCCGTCAGCTTGCGTTGAAGTGAAAATTCCTAAGCAACGCCTGGGGATCCCTTAAAAGACCCGCGTAGTTTCAGAAATAATTCGAATAGATCCCTGTAGGGCTTCTAAGGGTATCCCAAATCCCCATAAGAGGACAAACTGTGGCATACCCCCTGAGAACTAGGATACGAAGGAGAACCTGCAGGTCCGTGAGTTTTGGGAACAGCTGCCTCCCAAACTGCTCTACACCTTCCTGTCCTGACACTACTGGATTTTAGACCCTTCATCCTACACCTTTGAGCTGGACTTGGAATTCTGATGGGCAGGCTCCAGCAGCAGAAAGTTCTGCAACTTGACCGGCTGGCTGTGAGCAATTGGGAGCTGCGCGGCTTTGGGAGAAAAGGGGTTAGTTTACCAATTAGGGGGGAGTGAGGTGAAGAAGCTGAACATGGCCGCTTTCCCTTTCAGAGCCCCAAGTTTCAGGTCAACATCAGGCATGGACCTCATGAACTAGGGGTGTGTCCTGAAGAAAGTTTCCACATATTCGTCGCTTGGGAGAACCCCAAGCAGGGCAGAAGAAAGATTCCCCACCGTGATGGTGGCGATCCGAAGTTGTTGTGCCAGCACTTCCTGCTTGGAGCGTGGTGTGCGCGTTTCACTGGCATCTTAGCGCTCCCTGCCCTGTGAAAAGCGTTTCTGTGGCGTCACCTCATGCCATCGCTTTTGCGCTGCACAGTATACCTGGATGTTCCCTGAGCATAGCTTGCTATTTCTACTATCTGAAAGTTTGAAATTGTAATAACCAGTTGAACTTATCATTTCTACCAGGGGTCCAGGGAACTTAGAGCCATACGAACATGGACTTCTGCCTGCTTCCTCGTCGTCATGGTTGTGAATGCAGCTCCATTGCTAGTAAAGTTCACGAAATGAGGCTAGTTGCAAGGCCGTGCCGTTGAAGCAGCCATCAGTACTTCTACCCTTCCTTGAAATAACATGGAACCCCAAAACAGGCTCTATACCGGTTACTTCCTTTTTTAAAAAGGGGGGCTTGTATATAGGGGCCCTGTTAAGTTTGAGGGAGAAAATCCATTTTGCGTCCCTTCGCAGGTGGAGGCGCTCCACAAATCGTGCATCGGTGAGCTGCAGGCTTCTAAAATTTAGGGTTTATACCTAGACCCTCCATCTACCCTCTATATTAACCTTAAATGGTCACCATATCCCCTATTTAAAGGGTACAAAGAGGGTCCGGGCAGTTTACGGCTTATCTTTGGAGTCTGCACAACTCCTAGCCACGGCAAAGTAGAAGCATGTAGAAGCCCTCCAAGTAAGGCGTAGCTTTGATTTGGTGACTTTGAGCCTTGAAAGGTTGAAGTTGGTTAAGGGCCTAACTTGAGCTCATTTTGTCTACGCGTGTTGAACCATCTTCACGCTCATCCTCGCATCCCGCACTTTCAGTTCAAACCTGAATGCTATGATACTGAAGGTCATTCAGTAGCCAGTAGTCTTTTCGAGGCTTCCTGAACGGGAGATCTCCTAGTCGATCTACGAGTTCTTCTGCGCAATGAAGCGACCCATGTGGTTTTCTACAGGGGCCTTATTATGATATGTACCAGCTTCAATTCGGGATCTCCTGCCTGAAGCCCTATAGCCCGCGTAAAAGTCTACAAGCTTCCGGCAATCCAGTGCCTCAACCTTAAGCGCCGACCCCTTCAGGTGCCGCATCAAAACAAGATGTGAACCAAGCAAGCCCAGGCATGCTCCATTCCGTCTAACGTAAGTGCGTACTACACCTTTTTTTGCATATACCTTACATGGACCTGAATGATCCTGAACGGCTGCACACCCACATGTCTAACACCCGAAGCCCCCTTCCTTCAACCTCGCACTCCGACATGGCCCCCTGCCCCTGGGAACACCCCGCAACCCCCCAAAAAACCTGCCCACAATCATGGTAGGGTTTAGGGCCAGCATAATAGGGGTAACCTTTGTTACAAGGTGGGCGGGACAATAGCTATAGCTGCCCCCCCTCCCCAAAAAGTACCATCAGACTCGCCGCCTACCTGTTACTTCGGCCTAAGTACCCACGTGTTAGTGGCCCTATAACCCCAATTGGTGTACTCGGATGGTCTTAGATAATGGGGAGGTGATTGATTCCGGTCGGCTGCATGCAAGGCCGCGCATGCAGACTACTCGGAGCGCCTTCAGGCTAAGGCCAGCCCCGCGTCCTCAGCTTATGTAAGCTTACCCTAGAAGCCCAGGTACCCATGTAGTAGGTCCTTGGGTTACAGATAATATACAATTATATAGGGACTTAAGGACAGGAGCCCTATATATATATATATATGTAACTGTGCTTCTAGGGTTATATAGGAGTTAAATGGGCATTATAATACGGGGTCATATAGGGTTAGGGGTCTATGCAAGTGTATATGTACATATTTATATGCTATATAGAGGGTTCAGGGTACAGCATACTCTGCTGGTTGTTAGCATGGCATGGAAGAACAAATTCAAAACGAAATGGAAGTGAGGGTTTGTGGTGATATACTGGGTTTAGGGTTGATTGTACAGGTGGTTACAAAGGCATTTCAAAAAGATATGTAGCATGTAGAGGTCTCACATTTTGGCATTTTTTGGCTCTACCTGCTGGGTTGCCGTTTCAGATTTGTTGGTGCTTTTGTGTAAGTTTGTGGAAAGGAAAGGATGATATAGTCATCAGTGCTCTTGGACTCGGGGTTCTAGTCCTCAGTGATCCTTAGGGGTTCCGCTAAACCAGAACCAGAGCCTTGGCATGATTTCGAGGCTGCCTGGTCTTGCCCAAAACCTTTCGCTGTGTAAGGTTGGGGTTTTAAGTTGTTTTCACATGCGGTTGGCCACATGCCCCTGGTAAGCCCTCCTTTAGATGCCCATGGCAGGTGGGTAGTGTCCACGTCGTCGCCGTCGTCGTCGTCGTAGTAGTAGTACTAGTGGTAGT